ACGTGTGATGGCCTTAAACGTTACTTTTTGAGTAGTACCTTGTGTGTAAGATGCATTATGATTGAAAAACACCCTTATTCAATTTTAACTACAAACTTTAGTTTTCAATTCAATTTAACCTATACATATCATGTATATACATATATATATACACAACTCGAGTGAACGCAGCGCGCGCAACAGGTTTGTGAGTGAGGCCTGAGGGATGATTCCGAGAAAGAAATTGAAGCTGGGCCTGGGCCTCGAATGGACAAGTTAGCTATTTGACCCGCGATGCCTTGATGACCTTCTTTGAATTCGGAGTGCGAAGAACGTTTGCTGCACGGCCACGCTCTTTGGTAAGCAGAGATTTAAAACACGTGTTCGTAATGTGTCATGTACATATACTTATATATATATATACAACCAACAATATATATGCCACCGCGCGGCACGGCGAAGTAGAAAGAGCAAGCTCGAAAAATAGGATCGACGACGGAAATAAATATTTAATTAACTGCGCATTAAGTTTCTTCAGCACAGTGGTGAGATTTTATTCACATAAAAAGATTACGCGATATTACTACAAAATTGATTGTAACATTATACTTTAAGTTAGCATTAATAATTGTAATTAACGTTAAATTAATTAATGTTATTTATACAAATGTGACCGCTACACACTGGGAGAATAAACCGTTATTTTCTTAGAAACTTGTTTTGTTTAACTTTTCACTTGGTACGCGCGATTATCCATAATTATATGTTCTCTTGCCAAATTTTAAAGAGAAAAATAGGAGATAACGGTCTTAATTAAATTACGCTGATGTGTTATTATTTCTTTATTTCAATGTTTACATCTATAAAATTTACAGATAAAAAAATTTTACTGTCCTAATTCTCCTTTTTACGACCTTTTTACGATTAACCATTTTTTAAATATCCACATTAATGCGTCGTTATTCAAATACATTAGTTTTCTTGGACAAATTACGCGTTTCCTTTAAATTATTTCTTATTTCTTTATATTAAGGTTTCCGTCAATGTACTAAGAATTGATAAGCTCCGAAATCTCGATCAATTGATCAATGTTTTTTTTTTTTTCGATCGGAGCGATTTTTAACGTTGTGGGCACATATAGGGTTATAATAAGTTCGAGGAATGTTAACATTTTTTACATCTTTACAATGAACGATATAGAAAAAATGACACACGATATCATTGATATAGTGTGATGCTCAAACACAGCCAATTAAGGCCACGTGACCGAATCTGAGCATATTGTTAACGAATTCGATTGGTTGCACTCAGTGTATACATCAGTGTACATTAAAATCATTGTACACAAAAATCGACATAAAAATGTGTTTAATATAAATATAGAAACAGATTAAATAAAAATTCTTAACACACTTTATTGTGTTATTTGATAAAATATGTATTGGCATGAGCGTGTCGCAGAAAGAAATGATCGATCTATAGATATCCATTCGACATCATTTTCATTGTTTCGCTGTTTTTACATTGAGATTAGATCAGTGTATAATGACTTTAATGTTCCCAAAAAATGCGAAAGTTATAATATTGTAAAAAAGCGTGTAACGCAGTCTATGTTGATAAAGCAATACGGAGTAAAAAATTAATAAAATAATGTCATTTAATAAAAAAAATAGCGATCTGTAATTTATGTAAATCCGTATATGTTAGAGAAAAATGTATTTGTGCATCCGATCGTTATAAGATGGTGCTAAAATGCTCACAATGCTATTCTCAGCGCCACCTATTTTCTTCTCACATTTCATTGTAATAAGATCTGTTCTTTCTTGCTGCTCTGGACTGCATTAACTAAAACTTTCTATCTCACTACATCTTTCGCTACAAAGAACAGAAATAAGCTTACGTCGATTAATTTAGTCGGCATTTAAACACGACTTCGATGAAACTCTGATTAACTTATTAATTAGCGGCTAATTTAATTGGCAGAATTACTTATTGTAAAATTTCTAATTATTTCTAAAATATTGTTTCTAACTTAATTCTCGAAAAACTGACACGTGAAAAATTATGCGTTCTCTAACATATACGGATTAACATAAATTACAGATCGCTATTTTTTTTATTATATGACATTATTTTATTAATTTTTTACTCCGTATTGCTTTATCAACACAGACTGCGTTACACGCTTTTTTGCATTATTATTACTTTCGTATTTATTTAATTTTATTAATTTTAAAGATTACTGACTGTTACAACATTTTTTATGTAGTCACGTATTAATCTAAATGTATTCAATGTTAGCGGTTGATGAAAACTGTAGTACAGTCGAAATTAGTACTGTAATTTTTTGTACATTTTAATATGTAATTTGAAATTTATTAATTAATAGAACATCCAAAAATTTTGTTCGTTTTCGGTCTTGAAATTATTACTTTTTATTTTATCACTTTCTTAGAAAAATATAAAATATTTACTTGATATATGAAACGCGAGCTGCAACACTATCTTTTAAAAATTCTTATGAACTTTCAAACAAGCTAATATATTATTTATTATAATTTTTATTATATAATTTGCTATTTCATTAATTTCCTATTTATAAATTTCACATTTATATTTGTAATAGATGTATCTGGAACACATTTTTTTTGTTACATCTGTCTTTTTATATTGTAGATCCAGTGGGAATGTATAAAATTCCATTATCAGTGCCTTTAAGGTTTGTTTTTTTTTGTACCTATACATGTATGCTCTTTAAAAACCAGTTAAACTACATTATTATAATAATTTATATTTTAGATTTGAATTTTATTAAAACACGCTTATTGAGATATTAAGATGTCTTATGATATTGCAAACAATCTCCAACGGCAGGAGGATGAAATGGCTGTCCTTTCCAGTATCTACGACGAAACAGAGTTCTTCTATACGAGGAGCGAGTACACAAAATGCTCGATCAACATACATCCAAAATTCTTGAAACTAGAAGTAAAGTTCACTAGCGATTCCGATGTGGTTCCCAGCGATATCATCTTTGTAGAGCACCTGCCGCCAATCAGCATATACATTTATCTCCCTAATAAGTATCCATCTAAAGGACCACCACATTTCTACCTTTCCATTATCTGGTTGACGCCTTGGGAGATATCTTTACTCTGTCAGAAATTGGATGAAATATGGAAAGAAAACCAGGGCAATGAGATTATCTTTCTGTGGCTAAATTTCCTACAACATGATGTCTTCAATTTTCTAAACATACGGGAATCCTTAGACGTTTCCTTCTTGCATTTAATTCATACGCAATGTGATAATGTTACATTACGCCTAATCAAATCATCCGATTCCCGAGCTCAAAATGGTGCATTGTTTTCAGATATAAAAAGATTATTAGTATCGTATAACAAAAAGCAACATAAAACAGAATTTCACATGAAAATTTATACTTGCTTTATATGCTTCGAGGAATATGCAGGACTAAATTGTATAGAATTGGAAAACTGTGGACACGTCTACTGCAGAAGTTGCATGCAGAAGCACATAAGTATCAGGATTATTGAGTATATCAATGAGATATTGTGTCCAACGGTCGACTGCAAGCACAAAATAAGCGATAACGACGTCAAGGCTCTCTGTCCGGACTTGTTTAAGCAATACGAAGAAATCATGTTACGAGTAACATTAGACACCATGGATGACGTAGTATACTGTCCACGAATTTCTTGTCAATATCCGGTTATTAGAAACCTGAATGATGACGCACCGATCTGTCCCATCTGCGAGTACTGTTTTTGCGTCTATTGTCGTAAGGTAAAAACATTCCAACATTTAAGCGGATGTGTGTACGTATATATGTATATGTGTATATATATATATATATTTATATATACATAATAACTAATTTTTTAGTTAATTTAGTTTATATACATGAACTAAATTAACTAAAAAATTTATATATATAAATTTTAATTTCCCATTTAAATTTTATTTGTTCACAATTGTAACAAATGTATTTGGCACACATTATGTATACGTACATACACACATACATACATATATATGTGTGTACATTTATATATAGGCTGCGTTCGGAGAATGTGCTATCAGCTGTTGTGTCACATATCTTCATCGTTCATTAGACTTAAAACAAAAATAAAATGACGCGTCAGCGCTGATAACACAACCAGTGTATATCGACATATATTCTATATTAATTGTTATTCAAATAGATGTATCATGGACAAGAACCATGCGATATGACATCGACCGATACTATAAAGCTCATTGACGAGTACAAAAGTAGCAGTAATAAAGGAAAACAGATGTTAGAGAAGAAATATGGAAAACGGCAAATGCAATTAATTGAAAAATATCTTACGACTGAGTATCTGCAAGTATGTATACTGTGAGTCTTGTATACAAAATACAAGATTCAATTATGTAGAAATTAATTATTAGATTAAGTAATAAGACTACAGCAAGAGCTGATGATTATGCAGATAATTTTGTTTAGGATAATGCGAAAAATTGCCCGAAATGCCGTTCTTTCATAAGCAAAATCGATGGTTGCAACAAAATGACATGTAAACATTGCCAATCTTCTTTTTGCTGGCTGTGCAACGAACAGATATACGGATACGAGCACTTCAACAGCGTCGACAGTCAGTGTTACAGGCTTTTATTTGAAGGCATACAGACAAATGTTATGGATTACGTTGATAATGAAATGAACGTAAATCGCTTCTTTGAAGATCTCAATATTTAAATATGTATAACAGAAACTTCGATAAATAAGATTCTTGACATTAGGCTTTTGAAAAGTCAATTAAAAAAAAAAAAATATATATATATATATATATTTTAATATGACATGAAAGAAATGATTATTTTTTAGATATCAATTATGGAATTTTTGACAATTGTAATTTGCTATTTCACATTTTATATTAACACATATGTAAACTTGAAGAACTCATATATTCCTCAAATATTTTTTGTATAATATTCTAGTTATTGAAAATGCTTATTAATGGTTAGTATTACATATATTTGTATATATGCAATATATTTGCATAACATTACAGCATATTTTTGTATTTAGTATATAGGAATCTAGGATACTTAGTTGTAAACATTAGATATAATCATTTTGTTTATATTTTGTATTTTTCATTTTCCAGTTTGTAATAAAATATTTTATAAAAACGTGCTATGTGTATAATACAAATGTATAACTTTATTATATAATATGACAACAATAACAATCATCCTAGATAATGTCAGACTTTCCTACTATTTATAGCTCACTGCTATGTTTTGATGTTAAAACTCACGCATTTCTCGGTACGTGAACTTCAATACTTGCTTCGGTGACTAATTGCTCTGCAACGATAGAGACAGCAGATTCGCGTCTCTGTTCATTCGAGACAGTATCTAGGAGCGATTATAATAAATAATATATATCAAAGAAATAACTGCTTTTTCTCGCAATCTTAAGTTAACATGAAGTTGCATTACCTTCGCAATTCTTATCACATTCCACAATTGCTTGTTTGCAATGAAAAGTGTGCATGTTCAATTGTACAAGTGTAGGGCCGAATATGAAATATCCAATGCATGCTCCAATTACGAGAGCGATGCTGATATATGCGTTGTAGGTCATAACAGCCATCATTAGGATATAACCAAGTATGGTGTGAAAAGACCAGTGTAACATTTGCAGTGTCCATCTTGAGCAGCTTCCACTAATTGCAAGAAAAAGTATTTAACATCAATTTAAAATAAAAACGTTTAGCTGTTGCAGGAAAACACATACATTATTTAAGCCATAACTAAAGCTGTGAGTAGCAATGTCAATAAATGTAATATGATTAATTTTGTAATTAAAGATGTTATTATTATTATTACACAAAACATGTCTTGCTTGTGGAAAAGACGCAAAGTATTTTAAAGCAATTATGAAATCGAATCTTTACATTTTGTTTGCTTATTTTATACTTTCTGCACTTAAAAATAGATAATTAGATATTGAGAAAAAGATGAAAATTACATAAAGTTTAGTTATAAAGAATAAATCTGATATACACGCTTTAAGCTGCAATTCAAGACAATTCAAATTCTGATTAATTGATGATCAATCTAGTTAATTGTGAAACAAAACTAAATAAGTAATTCATTGTCTAATCTTTTTTCGACGTGATAAATTTTTTATGTAAACAAATTTTCAAACAAATTATAAGTTAAACTGGACCGCTACAGATTAACACAATAAATTAAGTAAAGAAATGCTAACAAACGGTCGAAGTTAGCTTTTGGTACATAATAATAAATTTCTAATAAAAAAAATTTGTAATTACATTCACATTAACAGTAAAGTACGGATATTACTTGATACACTGAATACCAATTAAATTACTTGATTAACACATCGACTGCCATGGGGAATTCATCCAATCCCATCATGGTCCGTAAACAATACTTATTACTTTACTGGCCAATTATTCTCGTAGTGGGCGCCTGGCGGTAGATAACTCATAATTGGCGATCAACGTATTAAAGTCATCCTTGAAACGCTTGGACAACGTACTTCTGTTTCTTATCGTTCCAAGGAGATAAGAAAAAACGACAATACGTACCATCTTGTATACATTCTGAAGTTCTTCGGTGCCATTCTGGACAGAAGGGACGAGCTCTCCGAGGAGGCGGAGGTCGTCCTAGGTATAGGCCTGACGACAATCTGTTGCAGGTGGATCTGGGAAACTTTCATGGCCTCGTAGAGTACGGCGAGGGCAGCCAGGCCCAGGCATGTCGCCACCAAACCCCCTACCGTGGTAATGTTGTATCCTGGAAACAGGAACCCCTCCAGAGCCACACCGAGCCAGTACACCATCTGCATCTGCGGTAAAGACGTACAAAAATTGAAAGACACGACGAAGTGTTTTTACAGAGCGCGGCCAAACCCACCTAAAGGGGAAACGAAATGCCGAGGATGCATTCCGTTTCGTGGTGCACGATGCTGTCGTTCACCGAATGTCAAACAAAGACAAACGATCACGCGCATCGTTTGGCGCGTGAAACGGAACACCGAAAAGAATCGAACCTGCACTGACCTTGTTCACCTCAATTTTCTCTCGTGCGCCCTCGACTCCTCAGCTGCGGAGACACTCATGACGAGTATGACGACTCCGATAAGCCACACGTATACAAACGCCCCAGCGTCTTATCGAGTCACCTAACCTAACCCAAAACTTTCTTAGCTTGTTTACAAAGGCGGCATTCCGACACGTTCCGATTTCCGATAATCCGACACTCGCGTTTCAATGCTGATTTACTATCCCTTCCACCATGGTCTATATACAGTGCATGGTGAGACACGTGCTGTATAGACTTCGAGCACCGCTAACCGATATGTTGATACTGTAACGCAGCCAAATCGTGCAGTCCGCTTGTGCGTAACATATTTCCGGGCATAAGTCCTCGTCGCGATTGCTAGTTCAACTCTGAACTTTTAATTTAACTCTCAGACACCGAAACGGTTCGTTTCACAAAAGATTAATTCCTTTTCGATTTGCGCTAAGACTGCTTAAGAGAGGTGCGCGAGGTCGAGCTAGTCGAACTGATCAGTGCCCACTGCCTGTCACTGCCGTCGCCCGTCAGTCGGTCAGTGTGGTCAGTGAGGTCAGGAGTTAGGACTGTCACTCAACTGTCAGTGGTGAGCAGGTCGAGTCGTCGAGAAACGGCATGCGTTTAGGTTAGAACAGCGAGCAAATCTGATTGGCCTGCAGCCGCAAAGTTCGACGAATCCCGGGCCGACGACGGCGAATTATTTTTTCTTCACGTGGGATGTGTGTTTATTATTTATTTACGTGACAGAGCCGATGCCGACGAAGCCGGCTCTTCTACGTCAATTTTCGCACAGTAAACGGCGGACAATTGAACGGCGATCGAGTGCGATTGAATCGACGGTAGATCGAACGGATATTGTTGAGTGATCGAACAAATCCGAATGGAAAAGCGACGTTTTGTCTTCACGCGAAAGTTCTCTCTTTACAAAACGGCTTAGAGTCGGTGTGTTGACGTCTACAAATCTTTAATTTCTCATTAGAGAAACTTCGAATGCCGTTCGATAGAAATGGAACTATTAACGTATCTCGCACTTCTCGCTTGCGTTTCGTTCATCGCGAGTGCGAATGCAAGTACATTAGGTATATTTACTCCAGAAACTCTTCCTCGTTTACCTGAGAGATTTTCTATTGTCTAACACTTGCCTTGTTTTTTTTTTTAATTCAAATTAAATGTATGAAAAAGTATTAACCAGTATACGTTATAATTTTAGAACCCAACGAGGTGACCATAGTGGTACTGAGTCAAAAGGAAGGCTACAATGCGGCCCATGCTGATTATTTGAGGGAAAACATCTATGAGCAGGCTGATGCGATGGAAAAGGTACGTTTGATCGCAATAAAATTGTTTCTTTACATGTATTCGTTCGTTAAATGTATACGTGACAATACACTAAACGGAAATGGATTAAAATGAATTGGCCTTCGTGGAAATGAATGCATTTCTTACAAAGGCCAATCCATTTCCATCCATGGTTTAGAAAATTTCAATCTATCTCAATTTAAAAGAAATATTTCAATCCATTTCCGTTTACTGAAAACCTATGTCTATCCTTGTACTTGGTGTTAAAGAAGTTTTCTTTATACTTTAGAAATTGCCACACGTCGTACTGTCCCACGAACTCAACATCAAAGGTTCCTGGACAATAGTTCCGCTGTTGACTCACTTGTCGAGTGAATTTTCAGACGTGGAATGGTTCTTCTTTTGTTTAGAAAACACTGTGATTCGACTGGAGAAGCTGTTGAATGTTCTTGGAAAATTTAATTCTTCTCAGGTGAATTGTGCGCTTCCTGCATAAGCTTTTAAGAAAATACGATATTTACATTCAAGTTAATTCCTTTTTGCAGGATATGTGGATGGGATACACGCTTTACGACCGTGAACCTACTATTATTCATCATTTTGCGATGCACACTAAAAGATTCAGGTATCCACACATTGCATCTGGATTTGCCATGAGTGTTACGCTATTAAAGAGGTATATTCCATTTTTATGGTAAACAGTCATATTATTAGAGTCATAGTAATATAAATAGCTCTTTGAGGCGTAATTAATCAAGAACGTGAAAAAGACTGCATATAAAATTATACAAACTCAATAAAAGCTACTTGATCCTTTGTTTTACAAAAACTGTTTGCGTATAATTTTCTAAAAATAATTATAATTACAATCTGTTTTTATAATTTATTTTTATACAGAAATTAATAATATAATTCAATATTTTAGTTTGTCTAAACAAGTCTCTGAGGGTAAGAAACCGTATGCAGATTTTTCTATCGATGTGTCGTACGAATTCGCGACCTTTGTCTATAGCACTGGTGTGAAGTTAAGTCACGTATCTAAACTGTGCATTGTATCTGCCTCCGATTGCGCCACATATCCTCGATTCTTTCATTCTTGTGTAGGTCACATGAATTCTAATTAATAGAAATAATTTTAATAAATTAGCTGAAAGAAGAATAATATATTTTATTGCTTTTTAAAACCACGTTTATATAAATATTTTCAATTTGCAGAGTTCTTCTGTAGCTCCAGAAAATATTTATTTCGCCGTTAAGACTTGCGCCAAATATCATGTGGACAGAGTCCAAGTGATAAAAAAGTTGTGGGCCAAGTACGATTTAAACATCGGATATTTCAGTGATGCAGCCGGTATGCCCGATCAATGAAATTACATATATCTTTTTTATATGTTAATAGTCTTCATAAGTTGCTGAATTGTTCTGTTGCAGACAGAAATTTAAGGGAGGCATACATTGTCCCGAACACTACTGAAGGACACTGCGCTAAAACTTACGCTATCTTGCAAGAGGCCAGTAAAATACTAAAGAAACGCAATTTCGATTGGCTTGCCATTGTCGACGATGACACTATCTTCAGGTGAGTGCAACTGCATTAAAATCTTATTTTTTAACTGCCAAATTTACGCAAAATATCGCATAGCTATATGATAAGCTTGTAATTTTTATTTTTAAAAGATATTGAAAAATTGAAGTATATATACTTTGTAATGCATTACAGTGTAGTACGTCTATTAAACTTGCTCACGTGCTATAATCCTAAGCACCCAGTCGCGATTGGCGAACGTTACGGCTTTCGTATGTGGGACAGTCATCAGGGCTTTCAGTACTTAACTGGCGGTGCAGGAGTCGTGTTATCGGCTCCCTTGGTTCATATGATAGTAGAACCGGGCGTATGTACTTGCCCATATGCAACTACTGCCGATGACATGTACCTCTTTGGACTTTGTTTGTTGCGACTCGGAGTAGAAAGCGTTCATTCTTTGATGTTCCATCAGGTATGCGCAGTAATTTTTTTTTGCTAAATAATTTATATTAGACATGAAACTAACCACGAATAAATAAAGTAATCATATATATGTATATATACGAGACGTATAATTTAAAAATATAAGAATATACCTATAGTAGTTTAATATACTCGATGATTATTTTATGCTTTAATATGATATTAAATTTATTTTATATTTGTACCATTGTAGGCACAACCAGTAGACTACCCTTACGCATATTTGGCATCTCAAGAACCTATATCGTTTCACAAATTCTGGTCGGTTGATCCGATTGCTATGTACACTGATTGGTTTGCAGAAGCAGATAGAATCTTACCGCTTGCAAGTACATCAAAACATACAGAATTATAAATTAATATACATATATAAAACAAAAATTTTATACATATATAGAAATTTATAATAAAATTTTTTTTATTTTTGTATTTGTAATTAGACTATTTCTTCAAAACATCATTTCTCACGTGCAATGTTGCTCTTACCTAAAGTATTCTAAGAGTGTTTAAGATATAAATTTCTTCAATTAAAAATTTTTCATATTATTTAATACTATACAACAACAAAATACATTTATATAAACGATTATATTATATACATTAGTAAAAATATGAAAAGATATAAGAACCTTTATAACAATATACGTATAAAAACTATATTTAAATTGTGTAAAAGTTTAACAATATAATATTGAAACATCAATTATCACATTAAAAGATTAGCAATAATTGATGTCCAGATAGTATACATATAACAAATTATTTTAATATTTAAATGTAGGCACAATTCTGAACAAATAACATGAATTTGTGCGTTTGTTTCAAAATTATCGTAAATTTTGAAGATATTCTTAAAGTTCACGAACGTGAAATAGTGGAAATAATTCTGAAATACCTCGGACTCGTAGTATTACAATTTAGATCGGATTTCATTCCACCATGGTGAGCGCTTCAAGTTCTCTTCGTTTTTAAATATCCACTCTTTTATGTGCTTGTATACCTATAGATAAAAAAATGTTTTCAGTTTAACATATAGTAAAAAAGAACAATTATTATACATGTAATGATTCAATACAGAATATTTAGTGGCAGCAGTATGTACCTCGCCATCTGACATTCCTAGAGGAGAATTAAGAACGAAGTCTGACGGTGCCACTACGTCAACTAACGCAACAGCATTGTCGACTAAGTCTCTGCACAGCATTATAATTCCTTCTCGCAAAAAACCGTCTAGATTACTGTTAGAAGAGGCAAAACCACCGCCGTACAAATCTCCCAATCTCTTCTCCAGCGTTACCGCTCCGAATAAAGAACACAATTTTGTCAGTGCCTCTCTTTCGTTTGCTTTCCATTTTGGATATTGTAAACATTTGACAAAGGATTGCATTATAGCGTGCTGCAACGAAAGAAGAAATTAACTATTGAATTTCCGTTCTATAGTAGTATTATAGAGTGATGTAAACTGTACGTAAAGCATTTTTATTGCATAAAAAAAGCACGTATATTTTTCATTGATTTTAATCTAAAATTTAAAGTTTATATTTTAGTTTGATATTAATTGGTTAAAATAGGACATATCGATCTCTTCTTTGTTCTAATTGAAGTGTTATGTATATACATAAGTATTTTATTTACCTCCGCATATACAAGAGACAAGGTTCGCGCTAAAAACGTTTGGGCATTGTTTTTTACATCAAAATCGGACATTCCGCTTGATTTGAGTTCCATTACACGTTGGTGTGTCTTTTTCAAATAATAACAAACTAGCCATTTGAAAGTTAGAAGCAAATCTAAAATTAAGAAATAAACATATTAATTGCGGTAAATCGAAGTTATTCAGCTAATAATCTGTAATAATAAAAAAAAATATTGTAATACACCAAAAGATCTATTTTTATCATACTTTCAGGCTTCAATGCATCTCCCACTGTAGTTGAATTAAATTTGGCCTTAAGAATTTGTTCCGCGTTCGCAAGAAAACCCGCGGAATTAAGCGGAGATGGCACGGGCTGTCCTTTAATCGCATTAGCCCATTGATTTAACAACCAATTACTCGCTTGCTGAATAAGTACGTTGTTTTCGCCCTCATATGTACAGTTTGCGTCGTTTTCAGCTCTTAAATCACCCAAACGAGACACTGATAACAAAACAGTATACTTTATATATTATAAGCAACAGACAATAAGATAACAGTTTATTACAAAGATTTATATGTAATACATACATTATGTATGACTGAGTATTTTTGCACTCACTTTTTAAGTAACCATGCCCGCCGCAAGATTCTCTGCAATTCTGAATCGCGTCACGGGCAATCCACGAACATGCTGGTTTCGCTGCGGAAGATAACGCGTGTATCTCCATTCCTTTATCGGCGATCAAGTCTTCATCCTCGTTTTCCATGAGACGACTCATGTGAAGATTAAACATCATATCATACAAATCAAGAGAAAATATTTTTATTGCATACATTTCAGCTAAATGGGGAATGATTCGCCATTGCTAGAACATAAATATTTTGCATCGATGTGACAATTGTTTTTTCTGTTTCAGCTCGAGATAAGAACCCTCTGCTGCTTATACATATATACGTACTTGCGTCTGATATTCTATAACTGGCAATTCGTTATCCTCGGTAGGGCCAAACTGCTTCCTCACTGCACAGTAACGTATGGCAATAGTTAGTGCAGTGATCATGTATTGCGCGCATATCCCGGTAATGGTGACACGGCCCCCTGAAAGTGCTCCCAACGACGAGCCTGCCCCAGTATAGATAAAATAGAATCAATCACACAATACTTTATCGTATATTAATGTCGCAACAATTAAAAATGTATTAAACTCTTAAAATAATATAAAAATAAAATATAAATCAAATCAGGCAGATAAGAATCCCACGCAGTTATTGACGAACGTAAATTTCTTCAATTTATTTCACCTTCGAATTACATTGCAATTTTTACGCTGAGGATAATTTAAATGAAGCCGAAATGTGTTCGAGAAGGATTGCAATGTAATTCGAAGTTGAAATAAATTGAAGAAGTTTACGCTTCAATAACAGCGTGAGATTTCTATTTGCCTGATTTGATTTATTTTTTATTGTTGTAGCATTAATGTCAATTCTTACCATATCTTTTTCGTTCATCCTTTAGAGCGAGAACGTACTTTCCATCTTCGGTGACATCCGCGGTGCGATTTAACAGGCAGCTACGCGGTATCGAGTAATTGTCAAACATTATGAATCCATTGTCTATTCCGTTAAGGGCTATCTTTTCACCCATATCGCCAACGGTGACACCGGGAAAAGGCAGATGAGTGTTTAAATTGCGAATTGGCACGACGAAAACGTGCAAGCCACGCTTCACGCCGTCCGGTGTAATTAGCTGTGCAAATATCAGGGCGTGTGTGGCGCTTTTTCCTAAAAATTACAAAACGTATTAGAAATTATAGGAAGCACTAAGGCAAATACTTAATACATTATTTTAACACACCGACTAATTTAACTTACCTAAACCACCTGCCCAGCATTTTGCAGCTTCAAAATCGGGTGAGTGAAGGATAAAGCTTTTCGTTGCTACGTCATATGTTGCTCTGGTTCGCATGCCTTTTGCATTGGTTCCATGAGCAATTTCAGTCAGTGCAAAGCAGCCAATATACTACAAGCAACAAGAACATATTAATAAGTATTTTATAATGATTCATAAGAATATTAATAAATGATTAATGTCCATGCACGTTCATACATACATTTCCATTGATAAATTCTTCTATAAGATGTTGATGTTGGTTGGTACCCAGTGCCATCACGGTATTTGGTACCATACCAAACATTACTCCCATTTTTACCGGTATCGATCCATCATATTGATAAATATTAAGATAATGTTGAAGATCTAAGGTTGGCTGAAAAGATTATACAAAAATTGTTAAGGCACAGAAGTCCAAGTCCATTTAATTATTATCAACGACCGTTGGTTATCATTTATTAATTATTAATAATTAATAATTATTATAATTTACTTGTTAAATAAATTGTTATAATTACATCTATGCCACTCTTGCGAAGCACTTGTATCTGACCGTTGCACTGTCTCCGAATTTCATCCAAATTCTTTGGCCATGTCAACTTTCGAAACACTGGATGAGTTTCGAAAAGTTCCCATAATTTTGTCTAGACATTCAATCGGTGATTTAACACATGTTTATCAGTACGTATGTTAATTAATATATAGCTTACACACAAAATACAGGTCATTGATTTCGATACCTGATATCGTATGCCCTCTTCTCCGATGAAAGATAACTTGAACGACTTCCAGTCGAATGTCGCTCGTTTCCTATAAGCGTCCAGTGGTCCCTTCGGCAAATCTTTTATCAAGTTACTGGCGGTGGACATCGCGCGTTTTCCTCTCACGAAACTAAAATTTTCGCAATCTTTCGTGAATGAGCAGCCGTTACAACAAATCTTACAATTTGTTGATATTAAATATGGCAACACACGGTTATTCAGCAGTTTTTGCATAATTAAAAATCGCTCGTTTAATCGTCATCAATAAATTGTGTGTCACGTTGATTGCGACGTACAATTGTCATTCGTAACCGGTCATTGGTGACAAGCACTTTCGACTTGTTTAAGGTACTTGTGAAAGATAAACATGATCATCTGATAAGGTATTTTGAATGACATAAACAACTTATAGATAACACAATGTAAAATATACAAAATACGTTATGCAACACTTTCACGGAGATAAAGCAATATTCAATCTTATTTTATTGTTATATGTTTACGACAATTTTATTACGACGTAAACGGTAAGACATATAAAAACTGGACAGATTGCAACGTGATGATTGATAATCCATGTAATGACTAGCGGCATGTGAACTTTAGTCGCACTCCATTTTACGTCCTTCCTTCTACTCTCCGTGTCTACCCGAGAACCGAATGTGTCTATCCTTTTCTTAGCCGCACTCCAATGGATCGTGTTCACTATGTTCGGGCAAGGAAAGGACTTAGACACGATGAAAGAAATAATTAGAAACAGGAAATTAAACATAAGGAATTAAGAAAAAGTCAGAGGCAGGCAATGCGAATGTTTCGTCTTACTCTTTTTAAAATTCCTTGCGTTCAATTCCCTGTCCCTTATCCCTTTCATTCTGAACTTTAAAACAGGAAAAAGTGAGAGAGCGAATGTAGAAAGTGCAGCTTCCAAGAACGAAAACAGCTGTTCGCTTCTGTATTCTGTAATGTATTCTCTATCTCTCTCTTTCTCTTACATTTTTTCTATTTGGACATATTATGTATAATATTCCACACCGCTACTATATCGAGAAAAATTTTACTAAAATTCTAGTAAAGTTATAGTTTACGTTATTGAAACTATAACATTTTTAGTAAAGTTTTTTTTTGTAAGCAATGTTTAGAATGTAACTTTGATGTTTTATGTTATATAATAAGTCATTCTCAACTACGTTATACTCTTTTTGCACTTAAAATGAAACAGGTATAGATTCGAGATGTTGGAAAGAAAAAGGAGGGAAAATGAACGGTACAGAAAACAGTTCAATCTCAATTAAAAGATATATGAACTGGAGATTCATTTTGCGAAAAAAAGAAGGACGAACAATAGGTGCTTTCTTAATATTATAATAGAATAAGTTTTCAGTATTAAATTAATTGGATTTCTGTAAGATAGAAAAAACACGCAAAAGCAAAAACGAATTGTCGCGAATTTTTGAACGCAAAAAACTGCACCTTGCACTCGTGCCCGATGAAACGTTATCGTAAATCCTATCAGTGTCCTTTGAAAGAGCGAATAATTTCCTGGTTCACCACGTTTGTTGTATTCCTCGCGAGTACCTGACACGAGATTCACGGAACGAGTGAAAGTGGATGAGCGAACGTTCAGCGAGAACCGTATCTGTAAAGCGATTGCAGCAGACTAGTATAGTGTATATTGCTCAAAAGACAGCGGCTCTTGGCGGCTCTCGTTCTCAACTCATAACTCGTTTTAAACGCTGTGATATCAGTGATACCACTCCACACTTTGCACTAACGTGACGCAATTACTACGCGACGCAACCGGCCATATTATACATATTATACATATTTTCCATTGCCGATTACACTGAAACAAAATTTTTTCTTTTTTTGCATTACGAGTGTAGTCATTTCGACATATTTTTGCCTGCTGAACACGAATCTGTTGACAAAATACGTCGGAAATGACACATTCGATAAAAGAAAAAAAAATAAATTTTGTCGCATAATGTTACATGAGAAAAACAATTATATATTTAAATTGCTATATCTTGGAAACAAAAAATCATATCGTAATGAACCAAAATGCACTTTAAAGCTATAGTAAGTTGATACTTTTATGTAGCTTTAACGAAATTAAGCAAAAAAATTAGCTAGTCGATGCTGCAACATATTAAAAACCCTCAAAATCGTTTTCAGTTTCTCTTTAATGTCATTTTTCTCAAAATTGTGATGTGATAGCCAACTTCTACCAATAGATTCGTGTTCAGCAAGCAAAAATACGTCGGAAATGACTATTCACACTCGTGATGCAAAATGCTGTTTCATTATTAATCGTATATTATTATCATTAAGAGCGCTTACCACTTTTTAGTAACCAGATGGAAAAGAAACGTGAAATATAAAAAACAATTAGTTTCGAATAATTAATCTTAAATTATTTCAGAAACCTGATTAGTCACGTAATAAGGAAAAATGTGATAATAACCTTATATAATAATAATAATATATAATAATAACCTTATTAGTTCTTCTATTTTTTATAAACGATACTAATTATAAAATACTATAAAAAGTGATAAATGATAAATATCAAATGTTGAAGGAGCCTTGAATCGATAATCCACGTGCTTCGTTGAACTTTGATACACGTACTTTATTGGATAAAATTACGATTTGATTTCGTTTTCCCGCTTCGAGATTAGATGTATTCGTGCGCAATGCTTTAGATAAGAAAAAAACGAGCTTGGACTTTTTTTTGTGATTTTACTTGACGTAGGTAGAGTAGAGAAAAAAGAGATTTCTGATTAATGTCAAGAAGAAATCTCTCTCGATCCGGACTATGGAACGATCTCGAGATCTCAGTCTCATATATATCTATACAATTTATTTCAAATACAAATTTTTAATGAGAGATCTTCGATCGTTTTAAAAAGTAAGGATAAATTTGATCTAAACACTGATTAATTTTATCGGTGATGATTAATTTAATCGGCAGAATTGCTTAGAACAAAAATTCTGATTACATAAAATCCATTTTTAATTTAATATTTTGTTCACGTATGTTAAACCAAAAGAATTAATAATTCCATCCATGTTGAAAAAATAGTACATTATTTTAAAACAATTTACGATTAAATTAATCAATGATTAACTCGTCTATGACAGTACTATTTTATTAACACGAATATAATAATATTCAAAAATATCACCGATAACGAATTGTTTAATGTAGAAATCTTGCTTTAATAAGTGATTCAAATGGATTAATCAGCAATTAAATTAATCAGAGCTTAATCAATGCTGTCCTGTCGTGATTTTCGATTCTAAATGGAAAGTTATGTTGAAAATATAATTAGCGACCTTGTCATTACCTAACTTAAAAGCGACTCGAATTGAAGACAGACTTTCAATTTCACATTTAAGTACTACTGTCCAATATTATTTTGCAACAGGAATAGTGAATAGTCATTTCTGATCGATGTATTTTTATCAGGATTAAGAACGTTATTTTAAAAGTGTAACGCGTTACAGTTACTTTTTTGTAACGGACTACTAACAGCGTTATTCTTTATATAATATTTTTTCGTAACTGTAACGATAACGTAGTTCTAGTGTTAAATTATAATATTTTGAAACTTCACAAAATAGGAAAAAGTCTGCATAAATCGATTTTAACGCAACAAAAATCATCACTTAAACCATTAAATATCGCTTTGTTTTGCCAATACTGCGTATTATGTGGTCCTTTTTTAAACAATGTCTAATAAGTGAAACGTAGAATTCTGTTTATCTAAACATATCGAGGAACGAGACAACTCCAATAGTTTCTGAATGGTTCGGATAATAGAGGCTTATTTACTATTAGTTTCGACAATAGAACCTAACATAGGTATTTATAGTAATTCCGATAATAGGAGCTGACATTCAGAAAACTTGATTAGTTTTCGAATAATTCGGATAATAAGAGCTTAATTATGAGTTTATTTATCTGGAAACAAGAATTGGGTAATATTTTTTAGTAAGTTAAGTTAAAGTTCATGACTTATAAAATTAATTCAGTTAAAAGTTGCATGAATAAAAAGTAACTTATTGTTAGTTAAAGTTGATTTAAGATAAAATTAACTCAACTCCTGGCTGAGAGCTAAGGTGATTTTTTTTGCAATAAATAATTCTACAGATTCGGGGGATTCTTATAAATGCGTACAGCATCAAAAAGATTAAATCGTTAATTAATTAATTTGATTTAATTTGTTACAAGTTATTCCAGCATTACGTAATGAACTGTGTTTCAAGTGGCAAATATGCGGCGCGCAGTTTGCGTGTGGTTGGATATATTGTAAAAAGAAATTATTATACACCGTTATTCTGTGTTGGCTCGCATACGGCTTCTTTAAATGTTTGAAATTAACTCAAGTTAAATTAAAAATTAATTTTTAAAGCATTATTTATATTAAATTAGAATATTGTAATTTTTTAAAATTAAATTGCTCTAAATCTAAATTTGACAACTTGTGAGTAACAAAATAATTACAATATGGCTCGTCAAATTTTAATATTTGATTTGTTTTAATAATCAGACTTTCCATCCTATTAACAATAAGATTTCAACAATAAGACGTTCAAGCTTTCGGAGAACATATTATTGTTGCTATCAGCGCTATTATTGTGTCATTCTATTTATAGCTTCCTGAATGCAGAGTCTAAGAATGTATTCGATGTTTTACACATAATTTATCTTTATTATGTATTATTTATCTTTATGTTTCACATTCAGTGAACAAAAATAAATGCATTATGCCTTATGTAAAACGGAAGGTATCCTAAGTTTATCAATTTTCGTTCATCTTTGGGCACTGCAAGCGTCGTGTCCATTACAATTATTGAACATTTTCTAAACTAATTTTTTAAAATTTTATAGAAAAAATATTGGCGTTTAAAGAGATAACAAAATTTTTTAATTAAAAATATGTATATTAATAATTAGTTAAAGTTTGCACTTTAAAAATAACTAGTTGAAATTAAAAATTTACTTATTTAAAATGAACTTAAATAAATTAAAATTTATAAAATTTTCTAAATTAAATAAAAAATTATTAATTTTTTAACTTTTTTATTTAACTTTTATTTATTAATTACCCAACTAGTTATTTTTCAACTAGTTATTACTCAACCCTACTAGAAGCTGGACATAAACTTGTTTGTAAAATAAATGAAGTACAGATAAATGGAGTACTCTGTTAGTCTGTTTATGATTCTTTTAAATATTTTTTTAAGTAATACTTAATTTATACAGTTGAAAATAATACTTATAATTTAAGTAATAATATACATTGTTCATGAAAGTAAATTAGTATCCTTGCGATTAATTTTATTATCACACATGTAATATTTGCATCAAAAGACTTTATGTGTATTTTTTAATATGCGATGTATATTACGCATATAGCAACATTAACCTTAACAAAAGTAATGACCAAACTTTTGAATTTATAACAACCGTCTTATAATAGTTTTGTGTTATTCCATTTCTTAATCTCACGTATTATACGTATTTATAAGTACATATATATTTACAAATATTTACTTATGTTAGTATAAAAATGGTGCATAATAAATATATATATATATATATATATATATATATATATATATGTGTGTGTGATACATAATAAATATATAATAAATCAATTGCTGACATTTATTGCGTTTTATGCAAAAAAAGATGGAAGCTTCACGATTACATATCGTTTAAGAAAAACCGTCTTTATTAAAGACTTTGTAAAACTCAATAATTTTTTTTACGAGTTTCTTTTTACGATTTGTCAAGATTTTTGAGTAATACTTGTGAATGGAAGAAAGTTCTTGCATAAATTTCGTTATGAAACAGTAGTCAAGACGTAGAAGTGCAATGATCTCTGTTACTCTTATACAGCAGAGTTTTGAACAAACTGATAAACGTGGCTATTTAAACATGATAAATATTGTATAATAGCGCGCTCAATATACTCGCTCTATTTACTTGCGATTCTCTCTTTCATTCTTTGCTCTTTCTCCCTCCAATGGCATATCGATCGATTATTAGACATCGAATTTCGTTTAATTTAATCGACGATATATCAAAAAATATCTCCAGTGTTTTGGAACGTGTAGAATTATTAATTTTTTTGTCGTTTGACGTGCGAAAAGAAAGATTAAATTGAAAACAAATAATACAATTAGAAATTTTTGCTGCATTATAAACATTTAAAGTCGGTTGAATAAATCATTGATTAAGTTAACCCTAATCGGTATTCACACGGAAATTTCTTTAACTATAGTATTTGCAAATCTAATGTATTTAACAAAATTTTAATTTAAATAATTAGAGTTTGATTGAAATTATTCTAAAAATAAAAAAAACAAACTTAGCGTTTTGTATATGGATAATGGTTTAAAAAATTGAATAATTTAGAATTGTTAATATCTTTCTGGAGTAAGGAGTGTTCTTTATCGATATACATATAGTTAAGATATTTTTTTATTGATGCGGTATTATTTATAGAATTATGCACACGTGTGCGCAATTATGGAAATATATGTACATATGTTTATAAAAATTAAAAAGAAGGAAGTTATGAACAGAATTACGTAATATTCATATAAATTCTCATTTTATTTCAAAATAAAATTTCTAGTATTTAAAAAGTTATCTGATTTTTTTGAAACAACGTATAACTAATTAGCAATATTAAGAAGCGATATCAATTCTTGATGATCTCAGCTTTAGAAATCATAAATTCAATAGTTTGTGCTTAAGAAAATGTAAAATTCTACAGTCAACAACGTCACATATGCTTAATCATTTATTTTACATCATTTACATGCAACAGTTGGTTTGAAAAAGGAAGAGCAGCATCGTTATTTCAAAAATGTGTCTCTGTCAATTTGGCAATTCTTATTTTAATTTCTTCTAATTACGATCATCGACTAAAGTCAACATAAGAATTTTCTCGACCATCAAGTAATACTACACGTAGACGTGCGTCGTACCGAAGATAGGATTTTTAAGTAAAATTATATGTTGGCTTAAATTTTATAAAATAACATAGAAATTTTAAAAAATAAAGGTTAGTAAAACGAGCAAACAAAGATGTTGCAATGTAATTACATAATTTTATTTAATGATATTAAAGCTTCTGCTGTAATATTATTTCGATTTTACTTATAATCTTCTTCAGTCGCAAATAGAAAATTTCAAAATATAGTCAATTACATTAATTTTAATCCGAAAACGTAACGTTTCTTTTCTGATGTGAGTTAAAATTAAGATTGCTGCCTGAAGCCATTATTTATTTTCTTTTGACGATCTTTGATAGTTTGATTCAATTGTATAGATTTCATCACTATGAGTTTCTCTTCGGTCATCTTTTGGCAAATAATAGGATTTTTAAATTTTAACTTGAATTTAGCTTATAAGTATATAAATTTTCTCCCCAAATCATATAAGTTTTACATTATTGATGTAGCGTGAAAATTCTTGTTAAATTAAGATATTAAACGTTCAAATCTTAATTTACTTATTAAGATATTTATTAAAATATTAAACGTTAAGATCTTAATTTATTTTTGATTAATATGATGTTAATAATTATAAGAGAATACTTCAGCAATTAACAGACGCGTAAATCGGATCTGCTTGTCATCATATCAATCAATTATAATTAATGCTTGTGGCAAACATAATTATTTTCGCCTGATCAGGAAAACGTCCGTATATATTAAACTATCGAAAACTATCGAACTATAGAAAATGCATTTAGACTTAATTGCATGCGGTTGGATTCTTAACGACGTTCCAATGGACGAAATAACTTATTTAGAACAAAGTGTTCGTTCATTGCACAATGTTAGCCTGACACACTGGAGACTTTTCCAGGAATTATGCAGGATTACCGGCGATTCGGGTTGCAAACACAATTGCCTACAAATGAGATCATCAAGAATTGATATCGCAAAAAAGAGTCAAGGGGCTCTCCAAAAGATCGATAGTATTATATAATACGAAGTGAAACAGCCTCTTCGACGAGTTACACGTGTGGATAAATTTCTCTCGAAATATGTGTGTCACACAAATAACAGTGGCTCTTGTACTCTTTTCGCAATTTGTCAGCATTAATGCCGAAAGGTATAGAACTCGTGGATTTCGACATTAGAGCCTATCTTTTTGGATAAAAATGATTAAAATAAAAATAGAGAAGCGGAGAGAGACATGTTTTCATTTCAAAATTACGAACGTCTTGCTTATGCAATATAACGTCATTATATTGAATTCTCTCATTTCTATTATTGTTAAAATAAAATTATCTGATTCTATTATAAAATAAAATAAATAAATGATTTTTCACATCACAAAAAGTTGGCAAAATATAATAATAAAAAATATACTTCCATGGATATCGAAAAATTTTTAAACTGACGAATAAAAACCACTCGGAATCATTGAAAAATATCGAGAATCATCGAAGATATGCGAAACGATGAGGGATTTTTATCTTGTTGTGTGATCATAATATATTTGCTTTAAGTACAGTTTTTACTCTTAAGAAAAAATGTAAATTTAATACATGCATCTAAATATGCTTGTTCTTTCTTTTTTCTAATGCTAATTACAATAATTAGTAATCCTGACATTCAGAATTTATGAATTATTGTTTCCGTAATATTGCAGAAGTTTCGAACGAATGCGTTGGTGCGAAAGCAAAACGGATGATCTGAAATTGGTAATCGAACGAATCATAGAGGAAATCGCCATGCATAGCAGCTGCATAGTTTTCATTACCGATCCCGCTTATCGTGGACTGATTGATATGCGTGCCATTAAAATGTCTTCTTTTCTATTGAGATACGACGTAAGTATTGTGTTTTACGCGCGATTAAAATATTCCGAGATTTCAATCTTAAAAAACTTGTATAATTTAAATAAAATTTATAGCTACAATTATTAATTAAATTTTAAATTTAAACGTTGAAACTCGAATTCTTCTATCTCTTAATAAAACTTTTTTATCTGTTTATGTCTTGTCAATTATGTCTTTTTTTTTGTTCTTACTTTGCATAATCAGAACAAAGCAGTATTTTTTATCATAAACATTTATGATAAAAAATATATACAAGATATATAATAGATATATTCAATATTTATTATTTTTTTCAGATTGGCGTACGTGATAACGATAATTTTTCACGGCCGAGGAAAAAAATTGTAAGAGCGCTTCAACACGTTAAAGCAACTGGCTGCTACGCGTATATTATATTAATTAGCAATGGATTGCTAGCATCACGATTTCTACAATATGCTGAAGGGTAAACAATCGAGATTGTTAAATAATATAGATTTATAAAGGACGAGCAATTATAAATTTGTCAGTTATTGAAGAAGTTATGTTAATTTTATAAACGTTAACAGTATTGGAAAAAGCATAATTATCACAAATAATTAAATAATTCAATAACTCAAAATACCATTTTAAAAATATGGAAATTAAGAATTAACATAAATTGGAGACAAAGAACTGGATTTTTTATGTGCTTTATCAAATAATTTTAACGATTATTATTTACATTTATTATAGAGGAAGGTCATCGATACTATATCACTTCGTTTTTAGATTATATTTTAGCTTTGGTTCAAACATTTTTTTTTGTCTCTCATAGTTTCAATATTCGCATTGAAATAAAAAAACCGATTTTTTTCCAAGGGTTGTTTCATCCCTTAAAAGTGCGTAAGAGCACGAATATGCGGTACCTTAATGCTTGGTTTTGTCCAGAGAATATTAAATGCTCATCAAAATCGGAGGGGGACACTTGGGTTCTTTTCCTTGACAGATTTGATGACTAATTTTTTTTTTAATTCTCTGTATACTATCTGAGTTAATTGTTTGTACATTTATCTATGTTCTTATAAAAAATATTTTTCCAAGTATTAATTTTGCTTCTCTCAAAACACTTCTGTGACTCGAATTCTTATTATTGTTTATATCAGCGAATATTATTATTGTATTTAATTTTAATTTTTTAAATTTATTCCGTACTTTCTGAATCGCTTTTATGATTTTTGGACAGAGAACGTCTAATCAACACGCGCGGTTACTTTTTACTTCTGCACGATAATCGGCTGTTCAGGCCCGAATTGCATTACATCTGGAATCGAATTATCAACGTGGTGTTCATACGGCGATACAATACATACAAGTACCGTTCAGGTGAGCGTGTTACCGAGGAACGAATTGATCTCAATACTGTCTATTATCCATCATATACAAGAGACTTCACGACAATCAAGTACATCGATACGTGGCAAGATGGTAAATTGCGTTACGGTAACAATCACTATATACCGAAAACTACGAATCTTCATGGCAACGGTTTACGGTGAGTATATGGTATTGTTAACGAATGCATAAGAAGCTCATAATTCTCGATCTTTGTTTGTGATGAATTCATTCTACAGATTACGACTTCGTATTCATAAAAAATAATTTACAAGTTAAAACAATATAAATTATAACTTATCTTAATTAGAATATCTTTTCTTATATTTTTATGAAGATTTTAATATCTTTTTATTTAGAATAATTGTGATAAATTCCATGCATAATTATCACTTATACAGATGTTCATAAAGAAGCATTCCGCATTTATATGGTAAATAGTATGTATACACCAAACTGAATAAAAAGAAGTCTGAGTAAACATATAACTCAAAAACCAATCGTTTCTGAGATATAAAGAATTTCATTTTTTAGTATCATAATTGACTTATATTAGTTTCCACGTGTCGCATGCAACGTGAAAACAGAAGAGAGTTTTGCAAAATCTCGATATTTATAGAAGATTCATATATCTCTTCGATTCTTATCCCATGCATGTTTGGCAGCTTCTTACAGAATTATGTGAACATTCCAAAAAATTTCAAAATCTTTGTCAAATTATTTGACATTTATATATAGAAATTAAGAGAGAATATCTAAAACGCGGTTTGTAAACATTTAATAAGAGATAAATTTTCACGTCGCATACAACATGCAATTTGTAGAACTCAATAAATTACTCAGATAAAACACTGAATCAAATAATGTCATGATGGCATAAATATTGTTATATCGTTTGTCATAAGTGACGAATAAAATTATAATGACATCTCTATGATATAAATAAAAAAAAAATATATATATATAATGTAAATTATAGATTTTCAATACTAGTAATGGCTATCAGAATGTAGCCTAAGTGATATAGTACAAAATACTTAAAAAAAAAAAGTATATTATAAAATAAAAAAATAAAAGTATAAAAAAGTAACGATAAAAATAACGGCAAATTGTTACTATAAAAATCTAACGATGTTATACTGTTACCGTTACAGACAGGAAAATGTAACAATCATAATTACTGCAAAAAGTAAGGAAATCTAACCGGTAACGTCACAATTTAAGTAACATGTTACCTTCCAACCCTAACTATCTATCATATAAATGTTGAGTGTTTTTTGTGAACACTATGTATATATAATACCTATTATATGTATATATAATATCTATTATAATTAGCTTCTTCAACGTGCATAATTCAAGACAGAAATAATGTCCTAACTAAAAATTTTTTACCATTATAAGTTTCTAAATTTTATCGCTATAAAAAACTTCATTGATTTATTTAATTTTTACAATGTTATAGTTTAATGTTAGTTTAATGACTTGTAGAATTGCAGTTTTTGAGCACATACCGGCTGTAACAGAAGCATCACGAGATTTCTACGATGAGAGCACAACAACTGCAAGTCCTAAGGCTCTGGGTATTGAATTCGAAGTACGTATTTAACCGTAAAAGAAAAATAGAATAATGCAAAATGAAAATTAAACTAAAACTAAATATAATAATTATAAAAAATAGTAAACGTGATGATAATAAAATATAAATTAGCAATTTGTATTATAACGCAACCGAAATAAATCTACAAATGTGTTTAACTTGTTGAATATTAATTTTCTGTAAATTTTTTATTACAAAAAAACTTTAATCTATAAAAGATTCGAATATTTAAGTCCCTAAAAAACTTTAAAAAATAACATCACGCCTTTTTCTAAGCCTTTTAAATGCATAAGAATTAATACAAACTGTCCTCTTTTTATTCTTTTTCTGTATTAATTTACAATAGAAAATTTTGTAGCTCTTGATTAACGAAAGATTCATTGTTTCAGTTAATCCGAATCATAGCAAAGGCGATGAATTTCAAAACAAACTACTATATGCCTTCTAACATTGCAAATGAGAGATGGGGTAAAGAGGGAGATAACGATAGCTATACGGGTCTCCTTGGCGAAGCAATTACCGAAAATGCTGATTTCTTTCTCGGGGATCTACATTACACGCTTGATCATTTGAATTATTTTGATTTATCCACGCCTTACATCTCGGAATGCCTGACTTTCTTAACACCAGAAGCATTAACCGATAATTCATGGAAATTATTGATACTACCTTTTCGGCATGTTATTAGAAATATATGCTTATTATACGAATAATTATTATTTGAAAAAGATATTAAAAAGATAACAGCTCTTCGTAGACTGTAATTAATACAACTAATCAAAATAATGCATAATTCCATAATAAATTATTTCTTTATATGTAAACTTTTGCCAAATAAGTATATTTTAATATTTATATAAAAAAGGATGACAGACAATTTTAGAGCCTTTAATCTTTACATGCATTTAATTTTTGCATGCATTTATTTAAAGTTCAACGCTACATCTTTTTGCATTTTCAGGCTTAATACGTGGATAGCGCTCCTTTGCACCCTATTGTTGGCCGGCGGAGCTTTTCACGTGTTTGCATTGCTCTACCAGAAGTACATAGACCCATGTGTGTCTGTGAAATATAACGAAGTAACCGATTATGATAGCATGAAGGGTTTGTATTTGTTTACCCAGTTCCAGAACAGTATGTTATACACATACAGTATGTTGCTCCAAGTCTCCCTACCGCGTTTGCCGAACGCCTTAACCGTGCAGATCTTCATCGGCTGGTGGTGGATCTACAGCATCCTGGCGTCCGTCACTTATCGTGCCAGTATGACCGCGACCCTATCACATCCCATCGCTAAGTACAGTATACGCTGATATATAAAATGTGTACCTATATAGATCATCAAATATTCTTTTTGCTATAGATTTTGTTAATCAGTTTAAAGTTTCCTTAAGACGTCGAAGCATTTGCACACGTTCAAATTGTCGCTATATAACGCTTAAAAATAAAAAATCATAAGCTATTTAAAACATACATAATAAAATCGTATTTTAATTTAATTAATAATTAAATATTTAAAAATATACTCTTTAAAATTAAAGTGGGATCACCACTGATTCTCAGTTGTATTTACAACTGTGATAAATAGTGCAGTATTTCAATATTGTTTCAGTAATATATTGATTCAAACAGTGAGTATCACTGAAAGACATTGAAATTCACTTGTGAGTACACTGAAAATCAGTGATGATTTCACTGATTCAATTTTAGAGAGTATTTTTACAAAATACATCTTTAAGAATAAAAATATGTATTTCTGTATGTTCTTTCTCGCACTTAATATCACTTATTTATTTATCACCGTAGAGTAACTATCGACACTTTGGCGCAGCTGACAAGATCTTCGCTGGCGGTAGGAGGATGGAACGAGAAGAGCAAAGACTTCTTCCTCGCCTCTTCCGATCCACACAGTCAGGAGATTGGCAACAAGTTCGAGTTGATCGAAAACGAGAAGAACGCGATCGATCGGGTGGCTAACGGGAAGTTCTGTTATTACGAGAATTCGTATTTATTACAGCACGCTCGCGGAAAATATATATTCGAGAAGCAAAACGATCGGCAGAATATGACCGAGAAGAGCACTGATTCATCAGTCAAGTACAATCTACATATTATGGAGGAATGCGTCGTCCATATGCCGATCGCGTTAGGGCTGGAAAAGAACTCTCCGCTTAAACCCCACGTGGATTTATGGGTATAATTTCAAATTTGTGTGCCGGTATTAATCCGTGAAGGACAATTAGCTGCGGGAAATTATAGCGACTTTAATTATTGCGTTAACGTAATGAACGAACCAATAGAAACGCGGGAAGGGAAAGATAATTCTATTGGAATAATTTTATTTATCAGATCGTATTCTTATTTCTAGTACCAAATCTGATAAAATAAAATTGTTTTTTATTAGTTGAAATTAAGCTAAATATAAAATAACTTAAAATAAAAATATGTACAGAACGTATTTTATTTTTCGGAAAACATTTTAGGCGATAGATTAACTCACATTAGTTAAATTAATATAAACTCGATGACTCGTGAAAAAAAATTGTTTTTCCATTTTTTTTATCCTGTTGGTACTGTTCCTAGAAAATCAGTTTATTTAGCATTTGTTAAATTATTAAATAAATATTTTAGGTGAGACGGATGACGGAAATCGGTTTGGTGCGCAAGTGGCTGAGCGACGTTATGGAATGGTCGAAGATTAATGAATCACGGCAAAAATCCGAATCCGAGACGTTAGTAAATTTACGCAAGTTACGCGGCGCTTTTATTGCTCTCGGGATCGGTCATTTTCTCGGTTTCATAGTTTTAATCGGTGAAATTCTACACTGGAGATACGTTGTCTTAAGAGACCCAAAATATGATAAGTATCATCTCGATGCATTTTATAGAAACAATAATAAATTTAAAACTTAAAGCAACATTCTTGTGTTTATTTTGCAGTGCAGTAAATCAATAAAATAAGAATATAAATCACTATATATATGTATGTCCTTGATTTTTGTTATAGACTGAAATAATGCGCGCGACAAAACGGAATAATAAAAATTAAGAAATTAAACATTGGAAAATATAAGCATACATTTCTTTATAAATTAAATATTTCGCGGGATAAAAAGATTGTCGTTCTCTTATTTAATTGAAAATTTTATATGTTTACGCATAATCATAAAAAGCTTAAAATAAAGTAAAGCAACTTTAATTAATTATTCTTCTACAATGTATATAATACAATGTATATACAATGTATATAAAATAAATGGAAAAAAATAAAATGCAAAGTACGCACATAGAAGAAAAAGCTAGATTAGTTTCATGACAGTATAAGAAGCTTTGTATGTGGTAGCTTACACTGTTCAAAGTATTTTAAAATCTTTTAAAAATATATCAGAAATTTTTAATGTTTATTAAATATATTTTTAATATTTTTAATAAATATGTAAAATATTTAAAAAAAATATTTCTAAAAAAAATTAAAGGATTATATCTATTCTACCTTTCAAAAATGAATTTTTAAAAATGTCTAACATATATATATATAGATATGTCTATATACATATATGTATATGTCTATATATATGTAACATATATATGTATAGATATGTCTATATATATGTCTAATATATATAGTTAAATAGATAGTCGATACTTTACAATTACCTCCGAGCTTCTCAGATCTTTTTAATGAAAATTTTATTAAAATTTTAGGTTTCACACTGTATCCGATACCACCTTAGAACATATATGACATATATTATTATTATATTATTATATATTATATATATTATTATTTATTACATATATTATTATATATTACATATATTATTATATATACCCGGGAAAAAAAGTTCTATATATAATTATATGTATACTATATGAAACTTTTTTTCCCGGATATATATGTATGTATATTAATTAATGTTCTAAGGATAATACACTGACGAGATACAGTATCTTGTCGGTGTCGATAACAACGATATCCAATAGAAGATTTCTCTTTTAGTATCGTTAGGTAAAAATGAAGAGTGTGCAATCTATATACTTACTACGTTTATAACCTATAAAATAAACACTGAAAAGCAATATGGCTACTTACAGTAGTTACAGTGCAAATCTACTCTCTTTGGCAGGTTAGGATTAAATCATTTCACATGTGTTAATATAAATTACTGTTAACATGTAATTAAGTACATATTGTATGTAGTCTGTATATTCAAAATTATTTTTCTCGAAACCTACTATTTGATTAAAAAATGTCTATCTTTTGTAATGATTTGTTGCAAAAGCTCGTCAATTTGCCGGTTATATTATTTGACAGATTGAGAAAAATATATATTTATCGCATAGATATACTTTATCAGTGATTAATAGTATTATTAACAATATAATTGACATTAATTTCTTATGTTGTCATTAATTTGTTATTTATATCTTTTAAGATTACTAGAAATATTGTCATGGGTGACGCAGAAAAAAAAGATTTAAAAGAGCAAGAAGTAGCAAAAAGTGCTGTCTTGGTTTCCAGCAGCTCTTTATCGCCTCACACAACTCCAGTAAAAGGTATTTATTTTCCATTAATAATTGTCACTTTACTGTCAAAATTATTGTTGTCAATAAATAATAACAAATTGTATGTTTAGGTTATGATTTTAACAAAGGGATCAACTATCATGAAATACTTGCAACAATGGCAAGTTGTGGATTCCAAGCTACAAATTTTGGACTAGCGATTGAAGAAGTAAATCGCATGCTGCACCAAAGGGACATAATTCTCTTGAAAGATCAGCTAGATGAGATGGAAGAGGATGAATTTATAAGAAGAAAATACCATTGTACAATTTTTCTGGGTTATACCTCGAATATGGTATCCAGTGGTGTCAGGGATATTATAAGATTTCTTGTGCAACATAGACTGGTAATTTTGTACATTCAATAATTTTATTTATTTATTTTTTGTATTTTGTAACTTTAGACATGCAGGTTTTGTAGGTAGATTGTCTCGTAACCACAGCTGGTGGAGTGGAAGAGGATTTCATAAAGTGTTTGGCGCCTACATACGTCGGCAGTTTCTATTTGGACGATAGGAAGCTCAGAGAGAACGGACTTAACAGAACTGGAAATTTGTTGGTACCGAATGATAATTATTGCCTGTTCGAGGATTGGTTAATGCCGAAGTTGGACGCAATGCTATCTGAACAAAAGACGAAGGTATACGAGTCATCGATTAAATTAAACGCTGTGTAACGCGCGTTTTTATTCTTACGATTGAATTGCTTTTTAGGGCACTTTATGGACGCCGTCTAAAGTGATAACAAGACTCGGCGAGGAGATCAATCATGAAGATTCGATTTACTATTGGGCCGCGAAAAATAAGATCCCGGTGTTTTGCCCGGCGTTGACCGACGGCAGTCTCGGCGATATGATGTTCTTCCACGCGCTCAAAAATCCGGGGCTCGTTCTCGATATTATCGGGGGTTCGTATTAACGTCTGGTGTGACATTTTATTTGTCCATGTAACACGCACAAACCAATCTGAATCCTTAATCACAGATGTCGTGAGATTAAACAGGATAGCTATGAAAGCGGTGAACAGTGGCATGATAATTATCGGAGGCGGCGTGGTGAAGCATCACATTTGCAATGCTAATCTCATGGTAAGATGACTCTATTTCGCATGTTTGTCTGGCCATAATCGCGATGATAACGAAACTTTTTTTATTTTAGAGGAACGGCGCAGATTATGCCGTTTTTATCAACACCTCGTCGGAATTTGACGGCAGCGACAGCGGCGCTAGGCCCGAGGAAGCGATTTCTTGGGGAAAAATTCGGAAGGATGCTCATCCTGTCAAGGTAATTGTTATCTCCGTTGATACTAAATTTGAACGATGAGCGACAATCGGTCAGATCGGTCGAGTGATATCGGCTGCTTCTGTTTCAGGTGTGTGCTGACGCCACTTTGATATTTCCATTGTTGGTTGGAGAAACTTTTGCTAGATATCATTCGAGAAAGACAGGAAAAAATGAGACAAAGTGAAGCCTTTATTTTAAAATAAGACAATATTGCGCAAGTAAAATGTGTAGGAAAGAAACAATAAAAATAACAATAATTATAATTGTCTATACGATGATATATACAATCATATTAGACACAATCGTATAGAAAATAGAAACGGTTGTTAAATCTGAGACATCCAAGTATTGTAAAGCAAAATTCGTGCATCTGCGAAATTAGTCGAACAGTATTATTACCATCTCTAATACGTGTAATACGAAATATCGCTATTACGTCTACATTTAATATCATACCCATATATTATTATTTTAACTATTTGAAATAGAATCTATTTTTATATACTTTTTATATATTTCTAATAAAATACACTTCTAAAAATATCGACATAGACATTTTCTGCGTTAAACGTTAGAAGTCGTGCCACTGATTTAAATGCTCGGTTTATCGGAAGAGACTAGGGTAGTTTTGCTTTTCCAAGGGTCTCGGGAGATTCGCGTTTCTTGGCTCGATCTCGGGGAACGGATGTCGAGCGTCGCGACGCCTGCGCGATCGCGGCAGGTGCTTGGCGGCGCAGGTTCGCCAGGCATCGCGGCGCGGGCGCCCCGCGGTGGTGTCGCGAGGGGGCGGTAGGGGTGGCGGTGCCGTTCGCCAGTTGTTACCCGTAAGCCCGCGCTCGCGGACGACGGGCGTGAAAGCAGCCCCCGATCATCCCCCGTCGCACGGCGCTCGAGCTTCCTCGATTCTGTGGTTTTTGTCCTCCCGCCCCCGGGGTCCCCCGCTCCTCTTTCCCGCGCTCGGGAACCGCGACTGCTCGGGGGTAACTGCTCCGGCCCTCGGCTCGGCATCGTCGTCGGCCGACCTCCTCGCGGCTCGTCGCCATCGTCGTGATCGTCGCGGTCGCGCTGCCGTACTCGTCGTCCGTTATCAACCCCTCCCCTCCCGCTCCCTCCCATCCTCCTTCGCGGGATATCGCATATAAGCGGTGGTGGTGCTGGTGCTGGTGGTGGTGGCCGTCATCGGTATGAACGATGATGGACGTGGAGGAGACCAACACGGCGTCCACCGCGAGCTCTTCGCCGAGACCTTCCAGCCCCGCCGCGGACTCTACTTTCATCAGGTGAGAGAATCTCACAGTACACATATATGTATACATACATACATCACATACAACACACACACACACACACACGCGCACGCACGCACGCGCGCGCGTATACATAATTAATATTTATATATACATACTGGAACGAGTGAGGAGAGAGAGAGAGAGAGAGAGAAAGAGAGAGAAAGATAACCTATGTAATTTTGGTTAAAATTTGAGCGATCGGCGAAAACGGCCCTTGCGTTACTTCGCGACGTAAGATTCAATTTCTCATACAACGCTGGAAATTGAACTCGTACCGAATTTATACGGTGCGCACATGCGCACACGCGCCGCCTCCAATCAGTCCAGTCCGCGTCCGTTTTTCGGCGAATTTGACCATGTTGCTTCCCTTCCCGTTGATCTGCAAACAATCGCTAAACAACTTCGCGAACATCATGTCGAATTATTGCTGTAACGTAGCCTCAATCGTTTGAAGACGCATTCGTCGAGTGTACGTTGTCAATTGCGGATCTGGCGACGTAAATGTCCCGTCGAATAAAGATCATGTATGTATTAGCGACGCTCAACATTCTTCCCATCGAGATGCTCGGCTGAAATATATAATATATACGCTTCGATTTCCATATTCTCGCGATTTTTTAAGACCTCTATCGCGGTCACAGAACTTTCCATTTGTTAGTCTAATTTCCATTTGTCTTTTATTAAGTATATCTCAGTTACATTTGTGTTTAAATACTGTCGTCGGAAAACAGGATCTAATTTCTAAGTTGTAGCTTAGGCCCCTATTGGGATAGATTATTTCGCTCTACGCATCGACGATGCGGCGTGCACACGGCCTTCGGCGGCCGCTCCGTGTGTGACGCGATATCACGGTTGGACGGCGGAAATACACGGGTCCGCATATTTGCGGGATCGCGGGGTATACACGCGCGGGCGCCGATTAATAATGCACGCATTAAGTGCACCGCCTCCCCCCTCCGCCCACCCCGGCCCCCTCGAGCGTCCCCGGTCCGCGCGTTCCTTCTCCATTCTGTTGATTTAAAAATGCAGGTGGCGGAGCACAACGGAGCTATCGAGGCGCGCCGTCGTGAATATCCGATCTCTCTCCCTCTTTCTGTCTCTTTCTCTCTCGAGGGTATCCCGTCGCCGTTTCTTACGGCTAGACGATCGAACGTCGGTCCGGTCCGGAACTTGGAAGCCTGAGGAAAACAAATTTTAACATCGAGAAAATTCAATTCAGGCCGAATTCCACGCCGAATTAGATCACTAAGCCTCACGGTAAATTCCGTAATTGATGCTGATGCGACCTCCGTCGAGCTTCGAATTTCGCGAAAATCATTTTTGCGTTTGTAGCAACACGAGGAAGAGTCGAAAAGTGAATTTATCGAGACTACAGCAGATTTTTCACGATAATTTTTCAATCGAGAAGAAACTGTGAATCGTCTCGATAAAAATGTCGAAGTTTTCTCAATATCGTCGCGCGCTCGTAGATCTTATAAAAATAATTCTTGAATATTTTAAATATTTTACGAATATTCGAAATATCTGAAATTTTTACTCGAATTAAATCGCTACGTTAATAAATATAGCTGTTGATCCTAAATGTAACTATTATTTTGCCGCAATAATATATAACTATTATTTTGCTTAATTTCTCTTTATACCGTGTCGATTTGATAAATGAATAAAGCTACCAACCACATATAAACTCAATGGTACAGAATAATCAATAGTAATTAATTTAGCGCGCACGGTGGCGCGGAATTGGGCGGATTTATTCTGTTATTGTAAGTACACGTGTCTTTAATATCTTATTGTTAGCTTGAAAAAACGGAAGAACGCTTGATTCCTTTTTACTTTTAACGTGACGTATCTTCGCGATTATAAATTTCAAATTAAAATCATATTGAAGTCCGCTTCAATTTAATCGAAGACAGTTTCGTATACGTTTGTTTATTATTTTAATTTAAATAATGATACTATAATTTGATAAATAATGAGTGAGATATAAATAATAATAATAATAATAATAATTTTAAGTCATCACTGAATTTTTCAAGTAGAATTTGTGAAAAATTACTTACAGTTAGAAGCTGTTGATACTTCATCATTTTTATCCCGTAAGAAAGTAAACTCGGCAAAAAATCTAATCTATCCAAGAGAAATGCTCGGTACGCGCTTACTTGGAACATTTTGTATAATTTATACACATTTAAGAAAAGAACGCTCGTTTATGCTTCCCTTTTTGAACATTAATTCCAAGCAACGTCAAAATGCTTCCTTCTCCGATAGATCATATATAACTTGCGTTTGATCCTTTCTTGCAATTACATTATCGGTGTCATATACTGGACGTACCTACTATGTTTCCCTACAAATTCTATATCTTGATGCTTCCTCGTGTGTCGCGGCTATAAAACACGACGCTCGCTCGGTCGAGGACGCGAAATTGCGCTGCCAGGACGAATAAAATCCGGCGCGTGTGATCGAACACCTTTAGACGCGGATATTTTCGGATGACCCACTTCGTTCTATCCATCCATAAAGGCGATAATTATCGACGATACTAGGAATAGCGGCGACGAGCGAATGACGTGACAGGCACGATGTCCGTTATTCTTTCGCGTGTGAAGATCGCTTATGTCGAATAATCCATATAGGAAGTGTATCGTAATGCTGTCGAAGACAACAAGATACCGTCGAATTTACCTTGGATTGTATAAAGTGATTCATGATCAATACCAATTTACATGAAATTTTTCATTTCTTTCTCAACAAGTGTTTCTATTGAATTCTCTCCGTGAATTGAATATTAACGTCATGAAATAGTCATATATCTTTTTCAATGTTATTTAATAGAAGGTCGATTAAATTGAGCACTAATTCGTATTTTGGATATCTTGAAATATTCTTGAATATTTTTACGATCCATGGATTATAAATTTTGAATTTTTTCAAATGCTTTATATCAAATTTTTCATACAGATAATTATTTAAAAAAGCACCGAACGGAGAAGAGTGAATTAATTTCACGTTAATACCGTAATTAACGGCATCATTTGCAAAATATATTCGCATAAAATGAACGTAGGTACATTCAGCGTCATCAATTTTTCCAATCTTCCACCGCACATTTTTGCCTTGATTAATTTTTCCTAAAGCCGGATTCGCGATGAGAATCGAAGTCAAAACTGGGTCAACCTTTTATTGCATCCCAGGGCCGTACTGGCGAACGTCAAACGGAACGGCGGATAACGCCGGTTCCTGTCGTCCTTCCCGATGCAAGGATTCCGCGCCCGAACTTGAACTACTTTCAGACTAATACCGTTCCGCGCCTTTCGGTCTAAATACATAATAGATGCTTTCATTTCAGCGTGAAGAAAGAACCTACGGACGAGCCCAGCAGCCCTTTGGAGGCCACCAGTCCCGGTTCCATTCTACGCAACAACAACGGTGAGTTTCTAAGAATAATTATAATGAATGATCTATGTGAAGCGTTCGATTCCATGGTGGTCTAATAAAAGAATAATTAAGCAACAATAAAATTGGCCGTATAGCAAAATTCTATACATCAAAAACTATAAGTTGAATAATATCCACGTAAATGCAATTTTTTTTAATAAATAGCATAACAATGCATTTTTCTATCTATTCGTGGTTTCTAAAATTGCAAAAATAATCGTAATAATTTGCATTGTTTAAATATAAAATACAAAAGAGCAATTATTACTATTAAATGCTAAATGATTCTCAGTGATTTAGTTAACAGTCATATTTTTATAAAAATTAAATATGATTTAACTCAACTTAAGAACTTAATCTCATTTTTCTGAAAACAAGCTTGTTTATAAAGTTGATTCATCGTTGTGTGTTGAACGTTTCATTATACACGATCTAATTTGTATGATAAAATTCGTTAAAATTGCGAGAGGAAACATTAAAGAGCGTTGTTAACTTTTTTTCGTACTGTTATTATATACGATGTGAATAATCCGCAAAACGTTGTATAAAAAAGAGAGGATGATAAGAGGAACAAAAGTTTATAGTTATTAACAGTGCTAGCTGGTATACCCA